AATGTGGAGTGTTGTGCTGGCGACATGATCGAATGTACAGATGACAGGGTAAGTTATGTTGCTTTTGCTTAGTGTTGACATTTGAAAATAACAGAACACGGCCTGTTCACTTACAGTGATACACCTACACACTCTTGGATGGTTGGCTCCTCAGCCCTTAAAATGTCAGCGCTGGATCCTCAGCTATTGTAAATCAGGCTAGCTCCACTGACTTCAGGGGAGCCAATTTACACCAGCTCTGGGTCTAACCATTACATTAAAAGAAAATTAAGGTTGCAAAGTCAAGCATTCAAAAAAGTTAGGAAATGCCAGGAATAAATTTGCCTGTGCCACCTTAATTTGGCCTGCTTGTGTGTATGTATTATAATACAGTCTTTAATTACGTGACACTTAAATTTGTTCCATGTTAATATTTTTTAACAGTTTGTCATATTGGATTGGAACATTTAGATTCACCACACAGACCTCTGCCACTTGAGTTTATGGAGTAACTGATAGTAGTAGTAGGTCATTAATCTCTATGTGGGTGATGGGATACTTTGCCAGTGGATTTCATTGATATTTGCTGATAGAGGAGGACCAGGGAGACTCAGAGATCCCCAAGTTTGATACCTTTTCCCTGCCCCAGCCCTGTATTTACCCCACCACTGGCTCCTTGTCCCAGCCCCATTCTCCTCAACTAGTTAGTCTTAGTCTCCTCTCCTCAGGCTTCTGTTCCAGTCTCTCTACTCCTAATCTTCACCGCTCCCAGTCTTCCTTGCCCCAATCTATTCCTGCAACCCTCCCCCTCAACAGCAAGGTCCCCTCTGCTTCCTCCTCCACACTGCATGGGTGCCAGAAGAGTGGTCATTGAGAGCACAGGACAGACAGGCTGCCTGCTCTCAGTTCCACCCGAGTCTGTAGCAGCCATTACAGGGAAAGTCTGGCTTCACTCCTATAAATCTGGGCTGGAGTGAACACGCGCAGTTGCTGTGTGGGGATGGCACATGCATAATGAGGACAGATTCTTCAGGTTTTAAACAACTAAAACTATAGCAAGTCTCTACGGAGCATGGGAAAACTGCAATTTCTCATAGGTTTATAACTTGGCCAAATTTAGGCCAATTTTCACAGAGATGGCAAAATGCACTTCCTTGATACAAAGGCCATGCCCCTGCCAAATTTCAAGTCTCTGCATCAAAGCATAGGGAAACTAAAGCTTTCCAAAGAAGAGGTCACCAGAATTATTTTAACCTTGCGTTTCAATGTCTATTTCCCTAGCCTTGTTCTCAGAAACTCCTACACAGTTTGGGCTGAAATTTTCCAGCCACATTCAGCCTGAAGCAGACCCCTGGCATGGGAAACATCACCCAACAGTTAAAGTTTGGCAAAGATATAAGCAACTGAAAACAGGATGGGATGGGAAGGGTTGGGCAAGCTTAATAATAAGCTGCACTACCAGCCCCTGTAGAACGTAGGCCATAGCAATGTCTGGTTATCCTGCAGCATTCTAGGGCGGTCTAGCAATTCCTTAACAGAAAACCCTTGTCTTCACCATGCATACACAGTTCTGTAATTCAAATTAAGGTGTGCAGAGAGGTAGGGAGGATGCCAACAAGTCAGCTGTTCCTTGTGTATGAGGTATTTATGCATCATTTGTGAGCCCAAATTGTTAAGTAGGCTCCAAGGATCAATCTAGCAATCCTTACTCACGTAGTGCCATTAAACTCAATGGGGTAACTCACATGAGTAAGGATTGCTAGATTGATCCTTGG